AGCCGTGCTCTACCACACTCTGCTAATTTTTAAAAAATTTATTGTAGAGATGAGGTCTCGCCAAGTTGGCAGGGCTGGTCTCGAACCCGCGGGCTCAGGCAATCCATTCGCCTCGCCTCCCAAAGTGCTGGGATTACCGGTTGAGCCACCGAGCCCAACTGACTACTGCAGTTTTAAAAGCACTTTGTTGGCATTATCTTCTTAGAGCCTAACAAAATCTAATTGAAGTGGAGGGGTGGTGTCCCCATCTTACGGACAAGGAAACTGAGGCAAGAAGATTAAGTAACTTTTGGAAAGAGGTTGCTCTGATTTAAAAATTCCTCCTTGGGCCGAGCACAGTGGCTCAAGCCTGTAATCCCAGCACTTTGGGAGGCCAAGGTGAGAGGATTGCCGGAGCTCAGTGGTTTGAGACTAGCTGGGCAACTTGGAGAGACCTCAACTATACAATAAATCAAAAAATTATCTGGGAATGGTAGCGCATGCCTGTAGTTGGAAAGCTGAGGCAGAAGGATCACCTGAGCCCAGTAGGTCGAGACTGCGGTGGCCGTGAGCGTGCCACTGCACTCCAGCCTGGGCAACAAAGTGAGACTCCAACTCAAAAATATATAAATAAATATTAAAATTCCTCTTTGAAAAAATATTCTTAAGGGTAGACTGTGCAATATCTAGACAGTTAAACGATACAGTTTAACTATATCAGTCTTACAAGTCAGTTTTGTTAGGGAAAAATATATCTTATAAGATTCCTTTCCTTGGCCTGGCATGGAGGTTCATGCCTGTAATATCAGCACTGTGGGTGACCAAAGTAGGAGGACTGCTTGTGTCCAAGGAGTTCGAGACCAGCCTGGGCAACATAGCAAGATCTCATCTCTACAAAAAATTTAAAAATTTTTTTAAATTTCTTTTTTTTTCCTATGCAGCAGAAAGTTATCTACTGATAGAGACCTAACAGAAACTACAATAAATTATTACTATTACCTCAGCACCTACTGGGTGCCAAGTTTTATATTAGGTATTTTGTATACTTATGTCTGATTTGGGGCCAGCAATAAACCTTATAAGGGCGTTGTTATGACCCTATTTCTTAGACGATGAAAGTCAGTAGAAGCAATGTCGGCAACTTGTACAGATCACACAGCACAGCTGGCTTGGAACTCATTCTGAGTCTCTGCAAAGCTGGGCTCATTCTACTGTACTGTGACGAGAATTTCATTTCCATGTTTTAATTCAAATTCTTATTTGCTTGACAGCTTTGAGATTTATTTAATTTTATTTTTGCCAAGGCCACGTACACTTGTGCTAACTAGCAATTTGTGCTCTTGAGATCACTTGAGATGGTTTATGCTGGAGAACCACTTTCTGAAAACCTTTATCCACGGTGAGGGATGCATGCTTTTTCAGGTTGTCATTGGTGGAAACGCCATTTGAAAACAGTTCTTCTATGAGGCAAGCAGGTCGAGGCTGCGGTGGCTGGGAGCGGCTGCTGCACTCCAGTCTGGGTGACAGAGTGAGACTCCAACTCAAAAAAAAAAGAAAAGAAAACAAAACAAAAAAACAGCCCTAAATTCCACTACCCGATATTTTAGTATCTGTCTTCTAAGTCATTTTCTTTTAGAATCTTTTAGAATTAAAAAAAAAATTATCCGAGTAATTTAATATGGTCATTTAACCTTTTTTTTGAGTTGAAGTCTCACTCTGTCACCCAGGCTGGAGTGCAGTGGGACACCCATGGCCACTGCAGCCTCGACCTGCTGGGCTCAGGTGATCCTTCTATCTCAGCCTTCCAAGTAGCTGGAACTACAGACGCACACCACCACGCCTGGCTAGTTTTTATGATTTATAGTAGAGATGAGTTCTCACCAAGTTGCCCAGGCTGGTCTTGAACCCTAGGCTCAGGCAATCCTCTTGCCTCAGCCTCCCAAAGTACTGGGATGATAGGCTGAACCACTGTGCCTGGCCTGTTTTTAACTTTTAAATGTGAGTCTAAATTTCCCTTTCTTGTCATTTTGTAAGTCACCAGAGTCACAGTCCTGTGTTTCTTCTTTCAAGATGACTTTGTCTCCTTCAACTTTGGCTCAAGCAAAAGGCTGTCTTCGGGTGTGAGGGTGATTTAAAGGAGAAAGATGATGCCACCTTTTTAAGAACAGAAGGTGGAGATGCATGCAGACCACAAAGCAAGACAGTTCCGACTGGGTGATGCCAAGGGCTTGTATTCAGTTAGTTGCTGTGTCTGTGAACCTATTCGTGTGGCATGGGACTCAACCCCAGAGACACCTGGGAGCTTGGCAGAGATGCATGGTCTCTTCTCCAAAAGGTTTGAATGTGATTGGTCTGGAATGGCCTGGGTGTTGGGATTGTTTAAAGTTCCTCTCGTGACTCTAGTGCCGTCAGCGCTGAGAACCATGATTTTAGAAGATGCAGTGTATATTCACCTGTGTCCGATGCACATAGGAGCTCTTCTTGCCTAGAGACCAGTAGCAGTCTATCCAACCTGAGGGTCCTTCATACAGATATGGAGTCATGCCTCCACAAGGGTGCCTGGCAAAGAGGATGACCAAGGGGGCTCAAACATACTTTTCACTCCCTAGGTGCGCTGCACCCTGACACAGGGCTATACATTCCAGATGGAGAGACACCCTTTCTTAATCAGCACGGAGTATGAGGGGGGAACCCAGATGTTATTTATAAAAAATTGTATATTCTTACATGTTTAAACTTCAGCTACCTTCAAAGTACTCTTCATTTGATGTAATATACCTATTGGTATGCTTTTTCCACTGCTCAAAACCGTTTTTTGACCTCGTTAATTTTGATGCCTTTTAGTACTTCTGCCATTTTATGTTTCATCTCTTCCACAACGACAAAACGTTTCCCTTTAAGGACTTTTTACATCCAGGAAAAAAAAAAAGTCACTCCGGGTGAGATTGGGTGAATAGGGAGGGTGGGGCACGGGGGTCATACCATTTTTGGTCAAAACCACTGAATACTCAGAGTACCCATCTGTTTTTGGTGTAGGGTAGGTGCGTTGTCATGATGGAAGAACCAATTTCATGATTGCCACAACTTGGGATGTGTCTTTCTGCAAATCATGATGCAACCTTCTCAAAACTTCCAGAAAGAATCTTTGAGTGACTGTTTGATCCAGAGGAACAAATTTCAAGTGTACTATAAGGGGCTCGCCCTCCAAAAAATAATTCTGGGTTTTTTGGGGTGGCCCCTCGTACAGGCTAGACTGATTGCATGTGTGCATTCTTCTTTCACCCTGCAAGGAAACAGACACGTTGCCTTTCCGTTCAACTGTTTTCTCAATTTATCGTTCTCACTAACACTCTAAACCACTAGGTTCTTCGAAATTAATATTTTCCATTTATGTCTTGAAATAATCACGTGTGCATTTGGCAGAGACATTGCAAATCTGCAAATTCCAGTTCATTGCCATCTCAGTAATAAGTTAGTCTTTAGCCACTTGGAATTAGTTTAATTTGGAAACTGAAAAAGCAACAACAGTGAAAAACCTCAGGAAAGACCAACTTTAGAAGGGTTGAGTCATGAATCCTCATGGTGGACTAGTGAACTCTCTCCTTTAGAATACCATAATCATAAACCAGGTGTATAATTTCAAACCCATAGTCGTTGTTAATACAGGAGTAAACTCTGTTTCACTGGCACAGATGGAAACTCTGTTCCCAGCCAGTTTGTTCTTTACTGAAAGTGAGAGTGAAGTCAGGACCTTGTCACTGATCATCATAACGGAAAAATCAGCTCCAAGAGGAAGCCCAGATGGGGGTGAAGTCAGCACGTGTCAGTTCCATTGTAGCTAGAATCAGCAACCCTACTAGCCAGCTCAACACACATTCATGCATTTGCATTCTGTAATGGGGACCAAAGGCAATATGGCATAAAACCTACCGTCGTGGCTTCCTCGAGAGCCTTAGCAATGTGTTAAAACTCTGCTGAAACACCAGAAGGACAACTCTGACCCCACCAACCTGACTTATCTGATTGACAAGTCTGGGTGTTCGAGGGATAAAATCCTACCTTTACTGTGAATATATGCGATATATTCGATCATGAAGGGTGGCTTGGCTTCATGTAGTTTCTTTTTTTTTATTATTATCAATATTTTTTATTATGGTTTTGTGGGGTACAGTTAAGGGTTAGGTGTACAATTACG